AATAGAGGACTGCCTTCATGAAATTATGCGCGCACACACACACACACACTTACATTGACAAAGAAATATCCGTCCTAAGAGATTTGGGAACTATCCAAGCAAAGGTCAATCAGGATTGGGAAAATTAAAAGTGAAGTTCAAGAATTACATTAGCTAAAATGCCCAATCACTGTCTTTTGCTTTCTCCACCATGTGAACTATAACAATAGTCCAGATTCTGGTTCTACCACATGAACTTAACACTGCCATTGTAACTCAATTACATGGAAATGCCTCCATAGATATATGCTTCTATTTTCTCAGATAGAAAAACTTCCATTCATATGCTAATAGCTTATATTTCTTAGAATGAAGTATGAGGTTAATTAAAATAGCATTTTTTTCTACAATAAAAGTGACTCTAACTTTAAAAAATGAGTTGCAGCAAACTGAAACTTAAATCTTACCACTCTAATTGCATCAACAACATTTAGCAAGTAGAGACTCTAACATAGGCCAGAATGTCTAAAAAGGAACTCATATTAAATTCATTTTACCAAAAAGCTCTCCTGGGATAGCTACCTTAAATCCTGCCCTCATCACAAATGCTTCCAAGATATTCATGGTCAACATTTTCTTTTTGGAGGAATCACAGTCAACATTAAGTAAACATCATATTTCTTAGCTTCTTCTTAATTTAACATTCAAGGCAATTCAAGCCTTAGCAATCTAAATTCTAGAGCCACCACTCCCTACCCAAAACCACAGAGAAATTGCAAGAGATAATGCTATTTGGCCCAGGATATCTAAATAACTGTCATAGCAGTCTGCCATGGACCAAAATTGATCCACTAATTTAACCAAAAAAACAAATTGGAGTAAGGACTTGATCTGTCTTGTATTACATTATGGCACATAAGTAATTTAAATGCCTTGTACCTCATAGCTTCGGTTGAAGGGAAACCAGCTGGAAAATGCACCGGTACCTGGTTGGGTCTTGCGGGACTCTTTGAACCAGCTGGTAACTCCTGAAACTTCCACTTTTGTGGAGGCCATTATTCCTTCTCAGATTGTAAAATAGATCTAACACTAGATTTGGTTACCGAACTGGGAGCTGAAGTTGTAGAAACACCCATGTTTGCTACAGTTTTAGAAACCCTATATCGGCTATAGCTTGTCCCTCTAGTCACCAAAGGCTGAGGACAACCAACTACACTTGCCTGGGTTGGCCTAGAGTAAGGCTTTCCCCCAACCATCCCTTGAGAATGGCCAGGAGTAACCCCAGGGACTGTAACAGGTGGAGGTTGTGCAGTGACGACCATTGATGTCAAACCAGGAGCAGAACTAGCATTTACATTTTGTTCACTCCCAGAACTTTGAACTCCAATCAACAACTGCAGTGAAGGCGGAATTGCACCATAAACTTAACTAGATAATGTCCTAAAATGGTTGGAAAGAAACAGGTTACCCAAGTCCAAAATGGCAAACAACCAGACTTGGCATAACAGTGAGATTACAATTTACAAATTTACAATCACCACTTAGCAAAATGGAAACCTGATTACCTGGATGCACCAAATCCTACATTGATAGTATCCAGGAGATTCTCTGCCAAACGCTCAGCATCATCAAGACTTTTAGGGTTGTTACAGGATAAGAATAAGTGCAGTGGCTGTTGCGCTTCTGCAACCAGAACGAGGTCAGATAAACCATAATTATATAAGAAAGATATCTAAAATAACAGCAGAAATCATTAGGTTTAGCCAAAATAAAGAAGGAAAAGGAAAAAAGAGGTCGCATTATGCACTGCAAAAAGGTATCTTCAGCCTGCAGGCTCTCAAAGTTTCCAGAACCACATCCTAATAGTATGACAGTTACTCCTGTTTCATTCATAATGTAATTTATATACTGGTCCTGCAAGTACAAAAACAAACCACCAGCAGAAGAAAAACATGCTCTCCCAATTGAATGGAGATGTCAGATAAAGCTTCAAACATTAGAATCTCTCATCTTTAACAGAAGCAACACAAACTTAAAATAAACTAAGCAAGCAGAACATACTCAAACAAGTAACTGGGTACAAGGCATACAAGAAATAGCAGATGCATACATATTAGTAAGAGGATTTGAGATGAAGGGGTTGTTTAGAGGAGGTGAGAACATAGTCCACATCCTTAACATCGGATAGCTGATTTTTAATTAATCAAGATGGTACCGCCATCTAATTATGCAATCTAATGATAGGATTGAGTAGCAGTTCTAGCTCTCTGACAATTATAAACAGATTTTCATCTTTTGAGATAATTTACCTCTCCTCTAATAAATCAATTGAATTACCATCAAATCAACAGATTTTTTTTATCAATTCCGAAAAAAAAAAACTTTTGAATTGTAGAAATTAAGTACAATAATCATGGAACAATTAGGGTTTGAGAATCGAAACTTAGGAGGAAAAATAAATTTGATAACTTTGTCTTGTTTGTGAACTGTAGTTAGTTGCAGTCGGATCATCGGAAGAAACCCTAGCGCCACCGTCCTCCGTCATCTCTTTCCCAAAATCCGGAATTTCAAACAAAAACCAAAGGGGTAATAAGGTTTTTCTTTATAATTACAAATTCCTAATTGTCAAATCGGATTTTTTTTTTTTTTTTTGGTTTTTGGAGATTTGTTTTCGATTGTGGCGTCAAATTGGGGGCTGTTCGGCTTGATTTTTCAGATGCAGGAAAGTTTGGAAGCTGTCGGGAGAATTGAGAATGGTGGGGCACGTGAGAGCTAAATGCTGACGTTTATGCCGGAACAAAGTCATACGTCCTGTGTGAAAAAAATTTACTGTATTTGAAGCCAAATGTCAAGGACAGAATTTTAATAGTATAATTAATTATAATTTAAAATTATATAAAATTTATATTTATAAATGATAAATTTTTATTTATTTTTTTATTATAATAAAATAATTATAATATGATAATAAAAAAATTATAAATGATATACTTTTAATGTTAAATACGGGCGAATATTTATAATTTAAATACACGTGTGTAGAGTTGTTGATATTCTTAACTCCTCGAACATCGTACTTGTTGCCATCGACAATAATGAAATGGCCCACACTTACAATATTGCAAATGTTTCCGTTCATAATTTAATTTATTTTAAAATTTGATATTCAATAAAATTGTAATTTTAATTTTAATTTTAATACCAATAATCACTTTCTCTATTTATATATTACTATTTTTTTTATATATAAACAAATATCTCCTAAAATTCTTGGGCATCTCCTTAAACGCCCACCAAGCTTTTCTTTTTCTGTTTTTTCCTATTATTTGGCATTAACAAACCCCAAATTATGTTTTCAAAAGATAATTAAAATTTTCAATTAAAGAGAGTAAAATTGAAATTTTTATTATCAATATTGAATTTTTTATAAAAATAGCAGTTTGAAAATAAAAAAAAATTATACATATTGGATTCTAAATTTTAAATTTTAAACTTTTTAAATATTATATTTTTAAAATAATTATATAAATTAATTAAACTAAGCATTATATTCAACAATATTTATCTTTTAACTGTATTTTATAATTTTAAGGTTCAAGTATCGGGGGAAAGTAGTTGCATGAGCTATCAATCCTTCACCAAATTATGTCCTTGAAAATTAATAGTAGTAGTAAAGTAAGTTTGAAACATTTCTTTTATGATCAAAATTTTCTTTTCACTAATAAATGATTAGTTCAATCGGATAAGATCGTTTTTTTTTTTTATGAAGAGATATTCGATTTGAGTTTTATCGATGGTTATTTATTAGAATCATCTCGAATGTATGATCTGCAACCACTTATTTTAAACTGTTAAGTACGACACATCTTACTCTAATATGAAAAATGAAATAATCTATCTATCTTTAAATTTTTATTAAAAAAAAAAAAACATTCTCTCTTATCAAACATCACATGTGTTTTTTCCTGGAAAGTTACTGAACAAATGGCACTGCCCCTGGTTAACCCTTATTTCATTTCTTGGCTTCCTTTGCCTTTTTTTTTCCCCTTCTTTTGGACCTTCTTATAAATTTAAATTTTAATTAAATTTTATCATTTAATATATAGTAAAATTGTGTCTAATTGTCCAATCTCTCATTATTTTAGTGTTTGCTTTGGTGAACAAAATCATAAAATCATATGGCATAATAATGGTGCATTCACTTTTTACACTAATATAATTCCTTATGAACCAATAGTGTAATTTTTTAATTTAATAAATAAAATTAAAAGATTATCACTTTTTTATTATAGATTAAAATATGTATCATTTTTTAATTTTTATAATAAAATTAAAAGATTTTACTGAAATTTGTCTTCTTAAAAATAAAAGTTACCTTGTAGTTAAGTGTCTGAATGCAAAATTTTTTAAAACAGCAATATAAATCACAAAAAAAAAAAAAATCATAAACTTTTGTATATTTGTGAAAAATCAAATGCAACAATATCCTTGAATTATTGTTGAATCCTTCAATGATGGATGGCCAACTAAAGATGGATGGCTAACTAGGGATGCACGTTTCACAATGATGGATGGCTAACTAAAGACGCATTAATGTGGAGTACTAAAAGCATATAGTTATATTTAGGCCATTTTCGTGAAAAAGAAATTTATGAAATTTATGAATTTATAGGTAGTAGGCTAGTTGCCCAGTGGGAGTGGACCTCATTTTTATCTTGCATGGTCGCTGGAGGGGAATGCAAAGTAGTACCTACCAGAATAGACACCTGAGTTTTTCTGGTTTCTTTGGAAATGAGTCAAAAAATCCAGTTCATCATTAAATTAGACAAGTCCAGCAAGTTATTGTACTTGAAAACAAAAGAATCCCATTGTCAACGTGCCACCCACCTAAACAATAGAAATTGTCTGAAAGTTTTAGTTTTAGTTTTAGTTTTTTTTTTTTTTTTGTTCTCTTCTGTTTTTTATTTGGTTTTGTTTTTAAGCTTTGAATCATTGCTGGTTTTGTTCAAAGTTTTTATTAAAGTTAAGTATTTGATATTTTTGGATTTTGGGAACGAAAGGATGATGATGGCTACTCTTAAATTGGGGTCACTTCCACCAGCGGCATTAGGAGGAGTTGCAAAAACAAAGAAAATTGAAAGATCTAGTGGTGGAGTGAAGGTGGTTGGTGATGGTGGTGGTGATAATGGGTTCCCTTCGTTTCTTCCCAAAGAGGTTGAAAAAATCAAAGACCCTTTTGCTAGAAATTTGGCTAGGAGGATTAAGAGGCTCCCTGTACAGGTTAATGTTCTTCTTCCTTCTCTTCCTTCATTTTACTCTTTATAGTGTTGTCTCTTTATTTCTTCACTTTTTTTTTTGTTTCATTTTAATGTATTGGGCTGACCCAAAAAAGTGGTTTTGATTACCAAGAGTTTTCTTCTGTGTTTTGACTTTTTTGGAGAATGCTAGCTGTTGGTGGAGTTTGCTGGTGGATGTGATGGGGAATTTTAGAATTCTGTGTTGTTAATGTGTAGTTTTTCCAAGTTCTAGATATAGAAAATCAAGGGTGTTTTGTTGATCGAGTACTGGGAGTTTTTCTTTTCGAAAATTTCTACCTATACTTGATCAATCAAGCAGAAAAAAACCCTTCTCTTTCTATCATAGCTAATAGCTCAAATTAAAAATTTAATTCTAGTAAAAGAAAACTATGTTACCTTATAAAACCATGCCAGATAATTACTAGGCAGATGCATGTATCAGTGTGTGATTTCCACAGGGAGCTATGCTGTAAAGTTTACCTGTTTTTTGTTTACTCCAGCCTTTAAATTTTCATCTGGCTCTCCCAAATTGGAACTTATATGATGTTCTTGTCACAATTGCAGATTGGATGTTCTGAAAGTTTTATAATGAGTAGCTGTGTACAACCACTAGTACAGACTGATCCCAATCCAGTTGTTCTTCTCCATTGCTTTGACAGGTTAATAGCATATAGATTTAAAGTAATTAGCATAAGCTTCCTATTTCCTGCTGAACCAGTTTCAATATGTTGTTATCCCTTAGTTCTTGTTTAGAATGGAGGCGTGCTTACCCGTTGCTCGAAGAATCTGGCTTGGAGGCATGGGCTCTAGACGTTCTTGGGTGGGGCTTCTCTGATTTAGGTTCACCCTCCCATCCTAACTCTATTTCCACTGGATTTTGTCTTTATGTCTATTTCTTGCAGTCTGCTTTGATATTGACCGGTCTTTATATTCTTTCTTCTTGATTCCATTTTTGCTAACTTTACTAGGAAGACTTCCGCCATGTAATGTAGCATCTAAACGTTACCACCTCTATCAGGTATATTCATCAAATTCTTTTATTCTGAAATTTTTTACTGCATCTTAAGTCGTTTAGTTGTCTCATGCCATTGGCTTAAATGCTTTGAATTTTCATTCAAGTGTTGCTGCGAACATGTATTCTTGAACTTTGCATTCATATTTGTTTTCTAATTGGTATTCTGGCTTGAGATGTGTGGATGATTTGGGTACATGCATTTTATGTTGTTTGATGGAGATCATTTAGATCAGTCCTTGAATTTATATTGTTTTCTATTTATTCTAGCTGTGGAAGTCCCACATCAAAAGGCCAGTGGTCTTAGTCGGACCAAGTCTTGGTGCTGCTATTGCAATTGACTTTGCAGTAAATTATCCAGAAGCTGTAAGTCTGTCCTCTACGATTTAGCTCATTCTCATGCCTGATTCATTGTAAATGATTTGTCTGAAAAATTACTCACTGCTTTTCCAAGTGCTTGTCCATGTTCCACTATCATATATATTTATCTTGCTGCAAGCAAATGTCAAATAGTTTTCATTAAAAAGAAATTCTAAGAAAAATCCATGCCAAAGAACTTGGAAGTTGTATGCAGCTAAATAATTCTTGTCCGATCATCTGAACTTATCCATTATTTACTGATGTAGCTCTGGACTGGGGTATATGAACTTGAAATTGTACTAACACATGGGAAATTTTCATCTTTAGCGGAAATGGTAGAATGAGGATTCGAAATAGACTGATTATCAATGAACCGGGTGTTATGCTAACCTGCCCCACCTCATGAATCAATGATTTTGGGACTGAAAATCCAGGCACCAAATGACAGCTATGCTGTCAAGGAATTAAAAAAAATTTACATCAATGTTTCTAGTATGGAATCAGTTGCTTACCATTTTTGGTATTCTTTATTCATTTAATAAGAGCGTCAATTTTGGAACATCAGCCACAATAGTTGTTTCAATCTTATCAAAATGAATGATTTGAAGGCCATTGGACTCTAAACAAATTTCACTCTAAACTGGTTGATTTTTGAATGTTTAGTTAGCAGATGTGGTTCTGAGACCTAAGGATGAGTACATCCCAGAGTGTTGACAAAAAGAAAGGAAATTGATCTAGAGTAAAAAAAAGAAATCAATGTGAATAAGAAAACCCAAATAGGAATAACTTGATTTGTCAAAGTGGTGACAGCCTTTAAATTTTGTTAGCCACCATTATACTTGTGATCCAATTAATTATCAATTAAATGATCACTTTCCTATTTTGCATATCCCGCTTGTAAAATAGACATATATCCACATAGGCAGCAGTTGCAGAGGCATTCTAACTTTGTATATGCTTTAGAATATCTTACTCAAGTATTCTCAGTTTTGCTTTTACTCTTGCTTATGCCTTTTCTCCTAACCTCACTCACTTGGAGTCTGGTTACTCAGCTTTTCTGTTTGTGCGCACTAGTAACAATATTTTCTGAACATCTCAGGTCAAAAAGTTGGTTTTGATCAATCCTAGTGTATATGCAGAAGGCACAGGAAACCTTGCAAAGTTACCAAAATTAGTAGCTTATGCTGGGGTAAGTTTCCATATCCCTTAAATAATGTGGTTTGTGGCATTTCTGTTTTGCTCGTTCATTTATTCTATCAATGAACTTAATGCTAACATTCTAGTAATGCTTATGAATCAGGTTTCTCTACTAAAAGCATTCCCTTTACGCTTTTATGCAAATCTATTGGCTTTTGATGGCATACCATTATCCAAGAGCTTAGACTGGACAAATGTAAGTTTTAACCTCTGACATTTTTTACTATTTGAACACTGATATTTAATGTATTTGTTAGTTTTCTCTTGCAACAAGTTGCTATGTATAAAAGCTGAACTCAAATTTTGTTTTCATATGACAACATAGGTTGGCCGCTTACATTGCCACATGCCTTGGTGGAAAGACGCGACTGTTAATTTTATGGTTAGTGGAGGCTACAATGTAGTGTCCCAAATAAAGCAGGTACATCGAGAAAATTTTGAGGCTCATGTGTGCTTAAACAGTAAACATTAGTCCTTTAGCCTTTTGCATGCAGTTTATAACATCTTGTTCTAACAATACATGAGACATAGACCTGTGAATTTAACCATAGCCGAGGACATAAGTGTTTTATGAGAACATGTGCTTCAATTGCTGCCAGTTAATTTTGACTCGAAGGTCTCACGGTTTTATCCAACAAAAAACAGTTTATAAATATAGGATTAAATCTAATCTTATATATCATAGCATCCTCACAATTGGCGGATGTGGGATTGGGGGCATTACGGTCAAAGAAAAAGGTAAAATGCCAACATGTAAAAGCTTAATGTATTTATTGGTTATCTGGGGAAAGCTAATTAAGGTTTGAGTTACAGAATTCCGTTATCAGTTCATCCATCTGCTTTTTTTTTGCTGCATTCTGCACTATCAGTTTTCGTGCTTTATTTTTATTTCTGCATTCACCGGAATGAGGTTATAGCTTGACTTGATCTAATGAAAGCAATCCACATCTGTGGCAGTAACGGGGACTGTGCTCCTAATGCACGAATTTGCTGAAGATTGAATTAAGTTGGATTCTGTATGTGTTATGTTTATAGAATGCACAAAAAGAACTGCTAAAGAATGCTTCTTTTGAAAGTATTTATTTTCTCATATTTGTTGCATATGAGGCCAAATGGAAGGTTAATTTTCTCTAGTAGTCCGACTGTTTTGAAGGATGAGCTGTTCATTTACAGCTTAGACATAATATTAGGTTGTCAGAAGTTGGGAGAAGACAGATTAAAAAGTGGGAAATATTGTTGTAACATTCTATCTGAATTTTGTTTCTGTAGGTGAAGCAGAAAACACTGATTATCTGTGGCGAGAATGATAAGATTGTGAGCAACCAACTGGCAATGGTGAGTTTTCGCTATTTCAGGCAATTATTTATGAGGTCCCATTTCAAGTTATTAGGTTATATTACTTATGAGATCTTGCTTCAAATATGAATAATTCCATACAAATACAATTTCCATATAGCCGCAATACTGGTGCTGGGGTTTTTTCTTCCATTAAAAAAAAAGTTCACCTTTTAAGAGGTGATATCCCACCCATTACTTGTAATCCCTTCTCTCATCTCCAAACTACAATCTCCTTTGTACAAAAAAAGGCCACAATTTTAATTCATAAAATTTCCTCAAATCCCAAATTAATTTATGGACTAAAATTCAAAAAATACAAAGCATCTTCTTCTGAAAACACTAGCAGCCTGGTATGCTTTTGCACATTTTGCCTATAAAATCATACTTGATGATAACATGGAATATGAGTCACTCAATTCCATGCAGAGCTACTTGTGAAACACAGATTCTTTCATTAGACGTTCTTGATGCTCATGTACTATCCATTTGTTTATCATTAATACTAATCAAAGGTAATATGAACCTGTTAGACAAGTTGCCAAAATGACCTTTATTTTCCCTGGTGCATAGACCTTATCAAGAAATAACCAGGACAATATATGGTTTAACTACATCTTTTGATTTCATTTTTTCTTTATTTTTTGACATGTTAAAGAGACTGCTTTTTGAGCTTCCAAAGGCAAGTATGCAACGAGTACCAGATAGTGGTCACCTTCCTCATGTTGAGAAGCCTCGCCATGTTGCAAAGTTGATTGCAGATTTTGCTCAAGACGGTAACTGCTGAGAGTGAGAACCATTGCCCGGATTTGCAAGAGGGAGATGCTTTTCAATAACCTTTAGGGTGCTGCTGGTTTTTCAGTTCATCAAGTAGTAACAAAATTATGGATTTTTCTCTCTTTTTTTCAGTTAGCTTCTTGGTTACAAAGTTATGTAGAACATTACTTTATATATATATATATATATATATATATATATATAAAGTTAGAAAAAAGAATACCATTAGATATGTTAGAGAGACAAATGGGAACTATTGATAGACAATGGATTGGATTGAAGTGTCTGAAGGTTAATGCTAAACTTTAGCAACAATCTCCTGTTTATCATAGAAATCCTTGAAAATTGAGGGTTTGCTTTTGATCCTGAAAATCTCAGCTGCAGGGGACTAATTGTGTTTTCCTCTAATTGAGTTTAAGCCATTGAAAGTCATTTAAACTCCCAAATAACATTGACCTAATTACTTGGTGTTAATTGAGAAAATTAAAATCATATATTGTTATGTTAAAAAAAAAAAACTTAAAAATCATAGGAGATCAATTAAGAAAATAAAAATCATATGGTGCTATGTAAAGGGAAAAAATCACAAGAGACACAAATGAGTTTACTTTACAATTATATGTAATGCAATGTTCTGCTTTTTAAACTTTTAGGGTAAATTACAAAAAAAAAAAAAAAAGAAAATCCCACTTGATAAGTTTTATTTGGTTTCATTACAATAAACATTAGGGATAGATTCTCTTTCTTCACTTGAAAATAAAATGAAAAAAAAAAAAAAACTGAAAAAGACAAAGGGTAAGAGTGTTAATGAATTAGATTCAATTCGATTTTTTAAAAATTATATAATATTATATATTTTTAAATTTTGATTTAAATCTCAATCGATATTTTTTTGAAACTGATAAATTTGAATCGAATTTTATTGATTTGATTTATCGATTTCTAAATTAAAATTTTTTTATATATTATTTTAATATAATTTTTAACATATTTAAATAGATTTATATAGAAAATAATTATTTTTATTTTATAAAAATTTAAAAAAATATATAAATTAATAAAAATATATAATTTAATTTATTTTTTTATATTTTTTACATTTGATCTAAAATTTAGTTCGAATTTAATATATACATTTAATATTTAAATTTGATTTGAACTTAATAAGAAAAAAAATTCAAATAGAATCAAATACTATGATTTTGAATTAATTTTTGATTTTTTAATTTTTTTTCTCAACCATTAAAAAGGAGAGAAAAAAAGAAGTAAAAACATCTATAACTAAATTAAAAAATAAAAAAACCTAACAAGGCTGATTTGAAGTTTCTACCATAAACTAAAACTCTAATTCCCCACATTTTTTTTATTTCATTTTTCTTAACCTCCTGCTTAAGTCTATTTGGATGAATGATGAGATTAATTTTGATAAAATTAAAAATAATGATGATAATAAAATTAGTTATTGTAATGTAAGATTGGATATTATAAAATTTAAATTAAAATCAATAATGATATATGTATTTGGATATAAACGTAATAATAAAAGTGAGATAAAATATAATAAAATAAATTTATCATAATAGATATTAAATTAAAATTCATTTAAAATAAATTTTATAATATATTTGATATTTATAAAGTTAATAAATAATTAAAGTTTAATATTATTGTTTTTATATCAAAATAATTATTATTATTAATTTAAAATAAAGTTAAAAAAAAAAAAGAATGAACAAACTGAAAAAAAAAAGTTTGAGTGCACTTTAATTTTAAAAGTAAAAAATTAGTAATAATAAAGTAGAGTCTTTTGTGAAAACTACCCTTGCCTTCAGTAAAAATTTTGAGGCATATTTTCATTCACACTGATAATATGACATCCAGCGATGAGATTGCACCAAGAAAGAGAGTCAGCGCACTGAAACGGGACTCCAGTGATGTCCAAATGCAGACCTTCTTCTGTCTCTAAACTTAACAAGCCCAAAAGAAAAAAAAATTTGAAGAAAAATGGAAATTAACAGAGAAACCAATGAAGAAAACTCAAGGAGGATTCAAGTCAGATTTGTAACAAAGCTAAAAGCTCCATATAAAGTTCCGACGACAGCCATCGCCATCCCTTCTGATCTCTCTGGTTTAGGCCTTTCCTCCATTGTTAACAAGCTTACTTCAAGCTGGTAAAAACTTTTATTTTTTTATTTTTATATATCTCTATAAATAACAGCTGGGTTTTTGCTCTCTTTTCATTTTCAGTGTTGGTTTTAAATTTCTTAAGACATGTGGGAGTGATTTTGGATTCAAGTTAATATATATTTTTTGTTATAATCTGATTTGGGTTTTTCTTGGGTAATTGTAATTTCCTGCAAATGTTCTCATCCAAGCTAATAAAAGGATGCTGATATTTCTGGGTAATTGAAAATTTCCTGGTTTCTTTAGGAAATTTGGTTTTTTTTTTCTTGGTAATTTGTAATTTGTTGCTAATAGTCTCCTCAAGCTGGTAATGCAAATTGATGCTTCAAAATTGTTTGGATATGGGTTTTCTTTTGCTTTGGAGGCTGTTTAGTTTTGTGACCGTTTTCTAGTTTCTTTAAGAATTATGGCTTTTGCTAAAGTCAAGTCAATGACTTCAGAACTATTTTTTCAGTCAGATTGTTTGATTGATTGGAAAATAATTACAATCCTTTTCCAACATCATTTGCTTTTAAACTTTTTGGCCTTTTGGGCTTTTCTTTCCTTTTTTTTCTTTCTTGTCATTTAGTACTATGAGAAAAGCACATTTGCTTTCCCTGGTAAGCCCGTCGAACCTCGTGAATCTGATCTAACCTCCTAACACATTGACTTAACTACCCTCTAATTTGTCACTGTAATTTTTCTTTTTCTTTCATATTTTTCTTATTAAATTAGTAAATTCATTTTTATTTAAATAAATGATATTTTTATGAATTATCATACTATATAAAAAAATATAATTTTTTAACTTTTACAAATGGATTCATAAACAATAGTGATTTGGGTTGCTATAATCTCTTTGATAATAAATAATGATTTGGGTTAATTAGGATTTGGAAAATTATAATTAATCTTAATCAATTCTAATGCAAGAAAAAAATTATAAAGATAGATAGTCATTCCATCAGTAAATAGCTCCTTATATAAATTTAATCAATGTTGGACCAACATTCAAGTAAAGCTACAAATTCAATTTTATAACTTAAAGTGATTTTTTTTAATCAATGGTCCTTTGGTTGGTATTTTTATTTTTATTTTTAATATATAAAAAAGCAAGAAATTAAAAATAAATAGATTTATGATTACTTATTTTTATGAACACTAGTTGCAAGAGTAAAAAGATAAATAATATATAATTTTATTAAAATAAACATGAAAAATATTTTACATTTTTTTCATAATAAGAAAAAATGTTATCTAATTTATGTTTCTTTGAGAATATGACCATTTGAAATTTGGTTGAGGGCATTTTGGTCCTCCAAAACTGATAGTCAAAACTGCATGAACGTTATGCAATCTCACAAAGCCACTCCCATTCTTCTCTACCATATAAACTGCATCTCTCACCCCGCGATTCCCTCTCCCTTCTCTTTGCCTATTTCCGTTTCCAATGCTAAGCTCCAAACCCTAATTTCCCATTGTTCTAATTCTCTCCTTAATCGGATAAAAAAAAAAATTAACACTCAACATCAAACACAATGAACTGAATTCCCACAACTCTTTTCAGATTAATACATATCAGGTTACATTTTTTTTTGTCTTTTAACATGATCCAATGACTTATCTAAATGCATTAAGATGTTCACCGTAATGGATTTTCTGTTTTTTCTTTAATACTTTTCTTTCTGCTAGAATTGATTTGTTTTTTTTTAAGTAATAATCAAGGCAATAACTGTTTCTGCAGCCAAGTTGATGACTTTATCTGATATAAACTTGTTTATTCTTTCTTACATGATCCAATGACTTGTATAAAAGTATCACAATGTTCACTTTAATGGGTTTTTTGCTTTGCTTTTATTACTTTTTGTTCTGCTATATATAGAATTCATTAATTGTTTAGGTTGATTTTGAGATCTTTATTTTTGAAGCAATAGGCAATATCTTTTTTCTATAACCAAGGACGTGACTTTTTACGAACGAAACTTGTTTGCTAATTAATCACCTTTGGTTGTGTGAAGTTCAAAAAATGTTGTTAAAGTTTTTATTTTCTGTTGACAGAAAGCAAAATGAGTGTTTTTTTATTGCCAAGTTCAGCCTTTGGGATGCTTCTTCCCCACTTCCCTGTTGTTTCTTCAGGCACACCACGTGGGCAGTTTCATTTAATCTTGGGAGGCTCTTCTAACAGGAAAAGGTTCTTTATTTAAGTTAAAGCTCCAATTTTTTTTTTTTTGGATAACTTACTCAATACCTGTTATCTTTTTCTTTCATAGTTCTATGATCATGGTTTGATTTTTATATACACACTTATTTGGTAAGGTATATCTGTTGCTTGAAATGTGAGCATTTTATCATATCATGGATAGAAGATGATGTTCTTGCAGGAAGCATTTACTTACTGGCAACTGGCAGTGCAGACCAAGAGTAATTGTAGCCTCAAAGATGGTGAGTGTTTACTGATGCATATTTTATTATTGTCATTAGTTTTGGCTTTAGAGTAGCACACATATTACGCTTGCTAGCTATTTAGGTTTAAATAGGTATTTTGGGGAAAATTTGATTAGTTGATCATGTAATTGTATATAAATAATGCAAGAATTCCCAAAAATTTTACTAGAAGTTTGCCTTGATATGATTACTGAATGTTAAAGTGAAACCAAGGTTTCTCAGAGTCGGTAGACTGCCTGGATCTTTGTAAAAACAGATGACTCTGCTTGGTTTTGTAGTTGTGATTTTTCCCTTTATTTAAGAAATAAATGAATGAAAAAGCTGAGTAAGTGTTGTTCCAAGGTGTTGGGAATGGCTGGTGATTGTTGAATTTCTATGGCAGAACGATCCCTATGACACTTCTGCAGATGTGGCTGATAATGAAGATGGTTCTTCATCAGGGGGGTATGAAATGTTGGAGATGAGAGAGGAGGAGTTAATGGAGACCAGAAGAGCTCTTTCTGAGGCTCAGGCCAGACAAGAAGCCCTTGAGAAAGAAAGAGATCAATTGCTTGAAGAGTTTGCTTGCTCTGAGGCTAAACAGCAGGAATATGTGGCGGAGATTTTGCATGACAAGGAATTGACTATTTCAGAACTGGAGTCAGCGAAATCTCTGTTCCATCAGAAGCTGCAGGAGTCAGTGGAAGAGAAATTTACCTTGGAATCTAAGTTGGTTCTTGCAAAACAAGATACCGTTGAACTTGCAGTACAAGTTGAAAAGTTAGCAGAGATTGCTTTCCAACAGGCCACATCTCACATATTAGAAGATGCCAAGCTGAGGGTTTCAGCTGCAGAAACCTTGGCTGCTGAGTCCGCGTATCAAATTGAAGAACAAATAAGAAAAGCAACCGAAGGCACTATTTTGTCAATCGTTGAGCAGTCAAAAGATGCTATAACTAAGGCCCTTGAAGTGGCAGAAAAGGCCGGTGACCAGGCTGCAAAAGCTGTGGCTGCTTTCAATGATAGTATAAATCCAATTGATTCTATTGCTTCTGTTCAGTCTGAGAATATTAAGTTACAAGGTGTTGTCAGTGAGTTAGAATCTCAATTATTGCTTTCAAAAAGTGAGGTTGACAGGTTGAAATTGGAGTTGCAACAGGTCCAAGCACAAGCAAATGCAGCAGAACTCCGAGCCAGTAATGCTGAGAAGGCATTGCTTGAATTTCAAGAGTTGAGTAGGAAAAGGGCTCTTGAGCAGGAAGAGGAGATTAAGTCTTTGTTGGAGAAAATAAGGAAAGAAGCAGTAGAAAGAAAGAGGGCTGTTTCCAAGGCTTTTAAGGCTGAGTTGGAAAGCATCAAAGCTGCTGTTAATGCTGCCAAAGAAACAACATGTTCGAGAGACAATGCCTACATGAGAAGATGTGAAGCCCTACAGAGGTCACTGAGGACATCAGAGAGTGCTTTAAAGATGTGGAGACAGAGAGCAGAGATGGCTGAGTCATTATTGTTGAAGGAAAGGCCACAAAATGAAGAGGATGAAGAAGCCATATATGTTGTTAATGGTGGGAGGATAGACCTTTTGACTGATGATGATTCGCAGAAATGGAAACTTCTGAGTGATGGTCCACGTAAGGAGATTTCTCAGAGGATAGCAAGAAGGATACGGAGCATCCGTCCCAAGTTTCCACCTAGAAAGACTGACATATTTGAAGCCCTAAATACAAATTTTAAATCTTTGGAATTGCCCAAACCTGATGAGGTTTGGTCCATTGCTCAAGAAAAGCCAAAAGACGGTGATATGCTTATTGAACATGTAATTGAAAAGGAAGTAATAGAGAAGAAACGTAAGGCTTTGGAACGGGCACTTCAGCGAAAGACAGTTAAATGGCAAAGGATTCCAGAAGAAAAAAAATTAGGTTGGTTTTCCTCTTATCTTAAATTTACCTTTTGCCATTCCCAAAAAAAATTTGTAGAAGAAGGTTCATATCTAATTTGCATTAGAATATGAAAATCAATGCAGAGCCAGGAACTGGAACAGGAAGAGAAATTGTGGTGAGTTGATATGGCTGGATTTACTTGCTATTGATTTGATACCACATGACTTTGATTAACTGAGGTTTCATGGTTTTAACTTAAAGCATAGATATCTATTAAGTATATTATCCTGGTCAAATGTCTGTCATGTTGAGAAAATGAAATGATTTTATTTGGCTAATATAGGATCTTAACCTAGTTTGCATTGTTACTTTTAGCAGCAAAAGTAGTTTGTTTGCCACCTGTGTCAATGACCACTTTGAAACTTTGTAAATTGTAATTCTTTATCTTCTTTTTTCTAGAAAACAAAATGGCAGAGTTTTATATTTTTTTATTGAAGGAAGCATTACACTTTTTTCTAATACTAATTTGTGGTAGAGTGGATTCATTCTCTGCAATTACTTCCTCCTAGCAGACAGAATGACTGATTTGTGCCATTAAATGACAAGATAAAAAATAAATTTAACTTGTATCAATGACTGCTCAGTAAGTTTCACACCATATGATATCTTACTCCCTCCATTCCTTAAACTTTACATAGAGGGAAAAGGTTTTCCTTTTTCAATTTTGGGTGTTATCTGTGATGTATTTTCAGATTTTGAAGGCACCCAGAGATATTGCTGATTTCACCAGCAACGTTTTCTTGTCTATCACTTTTTTTGTTTATTCCAGCTATCATTTTCACTGGACTTTGAAGACGACTTTATTCTTTGTTCTTTGTCTTCATGTCTGATTTTATTGTAAACTTGGTAGGGATAGAGATATGTGCATTTTATCATTACTATAGGAACTTATGCTTATTTGACTTGATTTGAGGTGAGGTTATCATTGATTAACTATGAAACAGATAAAAATATTCATTATAAAGAGATATCATTCTATTGTTTAAACTTTCAACACTCATAAATCTTAATTTGTTAATTTTCAAGTTTCAAGGTTTCAATTGGGAAAGTTGGAGAAGGCAGTGGTACCAGGAGCTAGCTCTTAAGGCTGCTGATTTATCTCAATCTGGGATGACAGCAGTATGGTTCCCACCACCAACAGAATCTGTTGCACCTCAAGGTAAATTCCACTAGTTTCAATTGTTTCATCTACTATTTTCTTGTTTCTCATTGGAATTATGGCTCTTCTGAAATTTAAACCATTCTATTACATTTTATAGAGTAAATTGTCATTCTAGATAACATGTCATGTATGCATGTGGTTGTTCTGGTATGGAGGATAATGTCATGCTCTTGTTATGATAATGTTGCAAACCTAAGAAATCAACATAGTGAGCAGTTAGTTTTTCTGCTAATTTTATTTGTTCGGTAGTACACGTTACATCAATTAATATGTTTGCAGGTGTTAAACATTGTGGACACATTTTTTATTGTTTTATGCAGTGTTAATAATATGGAATAACTTGCAGGTTATATGCCTTCTGACCTTTACAACTTGAACTCCTCATATGGCTCTGTGGAAGAACTGAAATTTTGTATAGAGGAAATGCACTCTCAGGACCTTCTGGTATGTGGAACAATTTCTTTGAATAGTAAGCTTTAGTGGTTAACATTTGGGACTCCTTTCTGCTTGTTTATATGACATTTTTTTTTGGTTCAAACTCTTGGAATGGAATTTCTCTATGTAGTTTTGTGCATTATTCAGAAATTTTATTTCTCATTGTGGGTAATATCAAAGTGTTGGGAACAGATACGAGTATTAATTTGAGCAAATCATATATTTGTGAAAAATCATTTATGAGAAATTATTGCATAACCTCATTATATATTAAATTAAAGTGGTAGAAATATTATGAAACCTCCATCTTCATCTTGGAAGTTGCAAACAGAAGAATGACAAAACTAAGAATAAAAAAGATAACAGAGGTTTAAATATTCAAGATTGGTGATATTGCAGATGCTGTTTTGTTCTATACTGTTTGTTAGTTGTTGCCTATGGTGAACTGAACCTTAAATTGTGTCACCTATATATGCAGGCATTGGGAGATGTCGTACTTAACCATCGATGTGCACAGAAACAGGTTTCCCCAAACCCCCAGGGAGATTTTTCCCTCAATAATTGCTTTTAAAGTCTCAATTTTGCTCTTTGTGGCTGTATTTTCCTATCTAAAAGACTTCGTAAAATTCGCTCAAACAAAAAGGTATTCGTCATGTGCTGCAAACTGGGATCAGTAATCTCAAATAGGTATATTTTACTTAAAACTAACTTAATGTCTTTTTGAATTCAAACTAAGTAAGACAAAACTGAGTGGTTTTGGATTCTTATTCTTTCAAGGGAACTTAGTTATGTGTTGCTACATATGTCCTTTTACTTCTTTGATTATTTTAAACTCAAATACTGTAAATCCACTTGATTATCTGGTTGTTAATAAGCCATGCATCTCAGACAACCATAACTATCAAGAATAAGAAAAATAATGGCTGCTAAACTTTCTTTATGTAGTTGAATTATATAATATAGAAGTGTAGACTTCTTGAGGGAAAAATCCTTAGTGAATGTAAACTTATTTACAGATCTTGAGGCATTGCTGAAAGTGTGACATGAACTTAATGAGTCTATTGCAGGGGTCTAGTTAAATGATGTTTTGCTTATTTCAGAGTCCAAATGGTGTCTGGAATATTTTTGGAGGCAAGCTTGCATGGGGGCCTGAAGCAATTGTTTGTGATGATCCAAATTTCCAGGGCCTTGGAAATCCTTCAAGTGGTATGTATATGATATAGTTTGTTTTAAATGAACTGAAGAAGATATATAATCAGTAATATAGAGTAGAAACTGTAGATTGTAACTCCTGAAAATATGGTTAAATAATTGCCAATTTGAGGCTATGCTTTTATATGTGCTTTATGTGGATTTGGGGCAATTATAAAGGTGTTAAAGAGTATTTTTTTCAATTGAATCAGAAAGGATCTTTTTCCTTAACTATATGCATAGCAACAATAACCTTTGCATAGGTTTCAACATTTTTCTCTTTAGAGAGAGAGGGATGGATTGAGTTCTACTATAGTAAAATAGAAGCATTTGTTCATTTAATAAAAAATTCACTGGCTACTGGGAACTGATCTGAAATTTGTTAATTAGAGCAGTGACATCTTAAGAAAGTGCTGATTAACCATATTAGACATTATCATGGAACCAGATGGCATGATATTTCTAGATATTAAATGAAAAATAGGACTTCCCTAAATTTAACTAATTTAGTTTATGTTTAGGTGATATCTTCCATGCAGCACCAAACATTGATCATTCCCAAGACTTTGTACGAAGAGATATAATGCAATGGTTGAACTGGCTCCGTAATGATATTGGTTTTGATGGGTGGCGGCTTGACTTTGTGAGGTGAAGGTGTTTCTATTGTCCTTTTTTTCTTACATGTCATTAGTTTATTTATTTTATTGGGGGGTACAAGAATTATTATTTCATCTTATCTTGTACATATATTTTGACAAACAAATTACAGTAGGCATGATGAGAGAAAAAGGAAATAGATTGCTTCTTTGTTGAAATTTCCTCCACTCTTGTGATGTGGGATGGCTGGTCAATATGCTTCTTGTTCATTTATTTCCAGAGTATATGAACCTATGTTCAACAGTCATTAACTTCTCCTCTATTTCTTTAGTAATGAGTGTTTTGATCTACTATTTGTGATGGTAAACCATGAGCAGGGGGAATGCATAAGCACTAAAACCTACCATGTAATTCTACCAGTGCAAATTAAGTTAATATTTATTGCGGAAGAAACAATAATGAATCCGTTCTTGCATTTTCTTGTGCTGTCGTGCATTCATACTCAATCTAAGAAATCGAATAGCCTGATATCAGATAGATTTGCAATATTTTTATCTATACCAGCTTATTGTACATACATGTATGATTGTCTATGTATTCCGGAAAGAGAAAACATTGATACATGCAATGTATTACAAAGTTCAGAGATTAGTTTGAGTTTTTGGATAAAAGCTACCTTAATTACTTTTCTAAGCCATCAACCAAGAATGAAGCTTTTCCTGGCCAAAAAAAAAACTAAGAATGAAGCTGAGAAATCATTCAGTAGAACTTCATTATAAGTTCATGCAAGAATGGTTTCTAATGTTGTGCATAAAGCCATCAGGAAAGCAACCTCAAAATGCGATAGTGCATCCCAAAATGCTACCACGCTCTGCTTTACCAACAATAAAATGTGCCCACAGACAAAAACCTAAAAGGACTCTAAAATATTTGAAAGAGGACATTAAAAAGTGGAAAAAGAAGGCAAAAACATTTGAATCAAACTATGGATGATGCCATTTTTAGCAGCATTAATGACTTATTTGCTCTTTTTTGCAGAGGCTTCTCTGGCACATACGCGAAAGAATATATAGAAGCTTCAAATCCTGCATTTGCTATAGGAGAATATTGGGACAGTTTGGCTTATGAACATGGTAACTTGTGTTATAATCAAGGTAATAATGTAGTACTGTCTATGAAGAATTAAACTTTATCGTCTGATCTCGTTTGACATTTTGGCTATAGCAAACTCCAGTTTTCATACAATGAAACACATAAGCTTATATAATCCGTTGTTAGTGGCTATTTTCAATGTTAAAACTTCTTTGATTGGTCTGTCATGCGGTGAATTCTGAAACATTTATTGAAGCAGATCTTGTTTTGGGGTATTTGAAAAGTTCTTGTCAACCCCTGAAGTGATCATTTCTGAAATTTTCAATTTAAGTGATTTCAATAATGTTCATATTTATTACAGAAATTCTTGTGGGTAGTTTAGTCAACTTGGCCCTTGAATTCACTCACAGATTTCTTATTTCTGGCTCTGCATTGTGTGATGCAATGCGATCCCCACTTTAATTCAGATTCATGTGTTGTGCTTCTAAGTCCTTCTGGTGACTGCATGGAACTGCCATGTGTTTCATTTTCTTTCTCATAGAATAAAATTGGCATACATGATATTTGGGACTTTGCTGACATGTCTAGATGCTCATCGGCAACGTATAATCAACTGGATTAATGCCACCGGTGGTACTTCCTCGGCTTTTGATGTCACAACAAAGGTATTTCTAATTAAAGGCAGCATATAATTTATTAGGCCTCTTCACATGCATAGGACAAGACTCTGGAAATAAGAATGTTAACATGGCCATCTTGAAATCAGACTTTCTCTCTCAGAGACTTGCTAATGCCTGGTACGGACATCTCTATAATAGTGCATGTCTTGTGCATTTTTCTTCAATTGTTAATTTGCACGACCATATATTGGAAAAGAACAATTATATAAGACCCCCTTTTCTTCTGGTATGTAGAAACTATGATGCAAGTAAAACATTGAGATTTGATTCATCAATGTGATAGCTGCACTGCCAAGGTTCCAGTTGCCTACTAACACTTTTTGCATGTTGAAAAAAGTTATGTTCTATAAATTTTATACCAGAAAATTTTTGTGATTCATTTATCTGAAATATTGCCTGCCACATGTTTCTGATAGCCATATCATGTCCATTATAAGCCATAAGGAGAAATTGCTTTCAAATAGCTTCATGCTTCCTCCAAATGCAGTCTCAAGTATTTTTCCATTGCAGGGGATACTCCACTCTGCTTTACATAATCAATATTGGAGATTGATAGATCCTCAAGGAAAACCAACAGGAGTAATGGGATGGTGGCCTTCACGTGCTGTTACATTCCTAGAGAACCATGATACTGGATCAACGCAGGTACTCCTTCCCTATCTCTCTTAAAGACATGCTAGCATGCATGTGTTTGAACACATAGGTGCATTCCCAAAAATTGGCACTCTTACACACACTCAGAGCTGTATCATCTTTCCTGACTGTCAAAATGGGTACAATTTCTGTAAACACCTTAATCTCTAAGCTAAACTTCCTTGTTAGATTACATAACTTTCTTTTATCACTTTGACGGTTGAAGTAGTTATCTTTCCTCCTTCTCGTCTGCCTAGATAGAGCATAGCCATCTTCTTAAAAGAACATCTGAAAGAGTGAAAGGAACGTAGTGTTTTGTATCATGATGAAGCTTATGATGCTATATATCTTATCTTGTTGAATCATAAGTGTGACTTTCTGAATAGAATATTTCAGCAAATTTCAATCCACTTCAATCTGAGCCAGACTATTAGGATTAGCCTTATCTGTACATCTAACACTAACAGTCATTTCAGTTCATGACCTCTTGATCTCTGACACCTCTCCACCAACCCAAGTACATGGATATGGCCATATTGTAGATTCGTTGAAAAGGTTTAAAGCAGATAATCACTTCTGAATTTATATGAAGTAATGCATGTACGCATCAAACGTGCCTATTTACTAATTATAATATCCATCAATAATGCCCACAACAATCCACTTCGTCATGTTGTTATATCAACAGTTACTAACTTTTGAGTTTTATTTTAGGGTCACTGGCCGTTTCCTCATGATAAGCTTACACAGGGATATGCTTACATCCTGACCCATCCTGGAACAGTAAGTTCTTTGTCACTGAAATTGCTGTATTATTCTACATCAGACACAGAACTGGAATTCCTGAAAAATGTTTCTTGGAACCCCTACTCTCTGGATTTTACAATATGCGTTTTTTCCCTATCTAGATTCTTCAAATGTCTCTTAATGGAGCATCAAAGGATAGACATGATTGAATCATAAATTTCATACTTTACTTTTGTCATGCGAGCATGTGACAATTTTCATTTCTTTTAATATTGCAGCCTGTAATATTTTATGACCACTTCTATGAATTTGGCATCCGTGATCTCTTAACGGAATTAATAGAAGTTCGAAGACGATCTGGGATCCATTGCGGAAGTTCGGTCAAGATATACCATGCCAATAACGAAGGTTATGTCGCACAGGTTGGTGATACCCTAGTGATAAAACTAGGGCATTTTGATTGGAATCCTTCGAAGGAAAATCAATTGGATGGCAGCTGGCAAAAGTATATTGATAAAGGATCAGATTATCAAGTTTGGTCAAGACAGTGATTCTATTAAATGATAAAAGATTAGAAGTTTTCCTCTATATGTGTACCATGCCAAGTCAATAATCTTTAGTTGTATTGATAGAAGAATATCTGTAATGGTACACAAAACTGAAAAACTAGTGCCCATCTGCTTCACTACAACAATATGGGGGTCAGCAATGCCAGCATAAAACCTTGAACATGGATTGTGAACCATTACTGCAGCTCTGTCAAGAAGCATGAGGGTGAAGGTTATGTTGCAGAGACGGGTGATAAAGCAAATACTAAACTTGGACATCTCATCGAAATAAGTCTTGGAATAAGGGATCAGTTTATCAGTTTGGTTGAAGTTAACAATCTGATATTCTGATTTCAACAATTCTTATGTACTTTTATCATATGAATACCTGTGTTTAATAGTTGTTGCTTTCTTGCATACATAGGAAGGAACATGTTCATATATTTAAGTGTGGATTACTGCAAAAAAAAAAAAAAAAGAACTTGTAACAGGCCGAGAATGGGAAGTTTTGGATGATACCAGAATTGAGAAGATGAGTTTGATGACAACAAGTCAACTGACATCTTATGAATACAGAATAGGAAAAAAAGTTGTAACTATTCATAAAAATACAGAAAAAAAATAAAGGTGGGAAGTTTCCACATGATACAACACTGCCCGTGAGAACAAAAAAGTTTTTGGAGATGCAGGGGATCAAAGTTTAGTTGTATTCAAACAATGGATCATATGAATTCGAAATTAAGGTCAATTAGTTATATTATCATTTTTAAAATTTAATATTCAATAAATTTGAGTTTTAAATTTTAACATTTATAATTTTTTTAATTCTTAAATTATGATCTCATTTAAAAAAAAAAAAAAAACGAACAGAATCCTTTTGAAGAATTCGATGCAAGAAAGTGAAAAAGAAGAATCTTTCATATTTGACATACTAATTATTTTTTTTAATACGGAAGAGAATATTGTTAATATTCTTAATTAGTTTATAACATAAAGTTTGCAATGTTTAAAATTTTGATCTCAATTTTATCAATAAACAAAACCATGAAAAAGATGGTATCCTTTTTTTCCTTTTGAAGATAAATATATTTTTACAATTTTATTGGAAAAGAAGCATATCATATAAAATAACTCTTTTTCTTTGTCAAAAAAAATAATTGGCCTGTAGAAAGATTGGTTGAGATACTAGTCAAGAACTTTGTCTCCCTCACCTGATTCACACCTCTTGCATCCATAGCACGGTTTTGAATTTCAACCTTGATAATAAATATGTTCATGGGCTGAACTAATAGCTTGATATGTACGCTCAATATTTTGGATAAAATTTTAAAATTTTAATTTTAATTTTGTTCGAAATATTATATTATTAATAAAAATAATTTTTTAATTTTAATTTTAAAATATTTTAAAAAATATTTAATATTTTAATATATAATTTTTAAATATTTAAAACTTTTAATTTTAAAAACCCAAATCAAATTTTTAAAAATTAATTGAATCTAATTTAACTCGATTCATGATTTATTTAAATATTTATCATTAAACTAAATACATGAACCATAATGTCATATAAAATATGTTATCTATAACAACTAGGTATATAACTTTGGACACTAAAATTCCAATGTTTGCTTCCCCGAGGTTTAATGTGCGTATCTCATTATTATTTCTAAAATTTTGTATGCTTCTTTAGAAAATGGATGTGATTGAAGCAAAAGGGTAACAGATGAGGTGACAATGTCTTGTCTCTGTTTATTCTTTCCGTCTCATAGTATTTATATATTGTCTTTGATGAAGGTTTAAAAAAAAGTAATTTTAATTTATTTAATATTAAATTTTAAAAAAATTATAAAATTTAAGTTTTATAATTTTTGATATCAAAAAATAAAAATGATTTTAAAATATAAAAAAATTTAAATATTCAAAAAAATTAATATCATATAATTTTGAAATATTCTAAAAATAGAAAAAAAAAGGACAAAAGAAATATTTATTTATTAATTAATTTAAAGTCTCAAATCTTTGAGAATTTTGGTGGAGGAGAAATCAGAAAGACTTTGTTTTTTTTTTTTTTTTTTTCGAGTCAATGTATAAATCAACGTCACCTTTAAAGCATGGGCTCTCCCTTCCCCACTCTGGCACTCTGTGTCTCTTTCAACTATGACTTTGGAGTCAAATTCTTCGGCTCCAAAGGCCAAAGCATCTTCTCAATCTCGCCTATCAAACCTCTTTTCTCTTACTACTTGATTTCAGTGCAAATCTTGAGAATGATATTAAAATTATTAAAAAAAGTCGGTGACAGTTTGGACCATGTGTCATCTTTGTATAGTATTGATTCTTAGTATTGGAGATCCTTTGGGGTAGATTCTAGTATATGAACAAAACGGGAAAAGAATGTAACCTCAAAAATTAACTTTTCTTTTAAAGCTTAATTCATATTTCAAGTTCCATCCTGCTTGAAAGATTTGGGTTTTTTCTTTATTTTTCCTTTTTGTCATTTAATGGTTTTTAAAAGGAATTAATTTGGCTTATTTTGGATAACACTTTGATAAATTCTACTCCATTAAGCCATGGCTTTTCAATATGATTTTATCAAAGAGTAAATTTGTACCAACAAATTACTAGTAGTACTTGGTGGCAGTTGAATGAACTGAATTTTTTCAAGTTATATATTTTTAGATTAAAGAAATTTTGGATATCTCAAGTTTAAAATTATATTAAATTTGAGTTATTTTAGATTTGAATAATTTGAGTTTAAAATTTTAATTATTTAAATTCAGGTTATTTTTATTTTAAATTATTCAATTTTAAGTTAAATCGTTTTAGAGTTTGAGTTGTTTTAGGTTAATATTTTGGTTACATTCGATCATTTTGAGTTTAGATTAGTTCATGTTAAATCGTTTTAAATTTAAATTAAATCAAATTTGAACAAGTTGAATGAATTTTTTTTAGCCTATATCAGTTTTGCTAGTTTTAACTTCAATTATACGAATATAAGCAAACAAGATTAATGATTCAACTATTTTGTTATTTTAAATTCGAATTTTAATTCAATTAATTTATATAATTATTCTTAAAAAAGCATCAGCAGATTTAAAATTTAAATCCTAACAAATGTAATCCCTTTTTTTTTTTTTAAGTTGTAGATATTTCAATCTGTTTAGAGTTCTATTTATTTTTGTTAATTAAAAAAATAATAATAAAAAATGAAAAAACCAAAAAAAAAATCAGTGGTTGAGTTTGTGTAAAATGTGTCTGTTTGGATTGCAAAGTTTGAGATGGATTAAAAAGTTTGAGTTGCATTAAAATCTGAAAAGGAAAGTTTAAAGGAAATTAAAATCCTTTTTGGTTTAGGATTTTTTAGATTGAAATCCTATAAATACAGACTAGCATCAAGCCTCAAAAGGAATACAAAGAGATTAGCAAACAAATCAGTAGACACATAAATGGAGGTAGGCAAAAAAAATACAGCAAAAGGCAGAAGGACCAGTAAAATCAAAAGAAAATTTTGAAAAGTTTTTTTTTGGAAAAAATATGAAAATTTCATATTCCAATGAGTTTTTCCAAAACCCAATTGAGTTTTCCGGCAATCTTAGAAGATTTTGACAACTTTCCAGCAACAATCCCAACTTCTGGCAATATTCTCAATTTTTGGTATTAGTTTTTCAGAAACTGACAAACTTTCGACGAACTTTCAATGACTCAACCCAAAATTTGATGTGAATTTCTAAAATTTGGTGAAGATTCAACTAATGTTCTTGAGTTCTAAAGAGAAAATGAAAGAAAAGAAAAGAAAGAGAGAAAAAGGAAAATTTTGAGAAAAAAAAGAATTTGGTCTTTTATATTATTGTTAAACAACGTCGTTTTGACATTTAAATCTACCAAGATCCGTTTGTTTCTATTTGGATGACCCGACCCATAGCGTCAACCCACTTTCGACCCGTGTCCTTATTCTTGGCTCAAGTCGAGCTATAAAGTCAAACTGTCCTAGCCACTTCTTCTTTACAGTCGAGTCGAGCCTATCAGTCGTTGAATCCACTCGTTCTTGTTTTTGATTTTTTTATTTGTTTTATTTATTTTTAAAGTATTTTTGCATGATTAAATTTTAAAAAAAAAATTAAAAAGTTTTTTTACAAAATAAAAAAAAAAATTTGAGAATAAATACTAATTATTTAATTATGGAATTTTTAGAAATTTCAAATAATAAATTTCTATAAAATTTTTAGGTTAGAAAATTTTCTAAATTTGTCTCAAATGCTAAAATAATTTAGATAAAGTTTCAATAATAATAATTCATATTTATTTTCAATTTTAAAAAATAAAAAAAAAATTAATAAAAATTTTGAAATTTATATACTAATTATCCAAAGATGAGAATCTTAGAAATTCAAATGATAAATTTTTTAAGAAATCTCTAGGTGAGAAATTTCTCTAAATTTATCCCTAATGGTAGAATAATTTAGATGAAATTTCAATAAAAGTAATTGTATTCTTTTCCAAATAAAAAAATATAACTTAAAAATTTTGGTTGAAAATATTTGACAATTATTCAAGGATGAAAATCTTAGAAATTTCAAATGGTAAATTTCTTAAGAAATCTTTAGGTGAGAAATTTCTTTAAATTTGTACCAAATAGTGAAAAAATTTAAATGAAATTCAAAAAAAATAATTGTCATATTATTTTCTTTCTAAAGATAAAAAGAAAAAAAGAAAAAGAAAATTCTAAATAGAACCAAATTGTGGAAACTTACAAATAAAACTTGTAAAACAAAAAATAAATTTCGAGGATAAAATTGTTAGTAATCACAAATGGATGATTATTTAAAAAATTTTTAGGTGAGAAAATATTTCTAATTTGGCCCAAATTGTAGAATAATTAAATATATTTTCAATAAAAAACCAAAATGAAAAATGATTAAACCTTTTTTCGATTATAGAACCTCTTCAAGAAAATAAATAAGATTTTGAATACTCTTGATATGAGAAAGTATTATTTAGAATTTACCAGATTGATAGAGAAATCTTAAGAATTATTTTTAATATTAAATTTAAGACCATTAGAATTAAAACTTCATGATAATTTAAAATAAAATGGTACCATTACTTGGATGGGCATTTAAGGGTGCTATAACATTTTTCATATGTAACCGAACTCCTGAACCTTGTTATGATTAATAAATCAGAACCTATTTTTTATGGACCCTTAGTCAAGCTTAAGAGATCAATAAAATGATAGATTTATTAGGTGACCAATCACACCTAGTAATAAAAGATTTGTGGTAACTCTTCTTATTAAGTTTAGCTATAAATTTACGGATTTATATGTTATGACAGTTTGAATACTCTTGATATGAGAAAGTATTATTTAGAATTTACCAGATTGATAGAGAAATCTTAAGAATTATTTTTAATATTAAATTTAAGACCATTAGAATTAAAACTTCATGATAATTTAAAATAAAATGGTACCATTACTTGGATGGGCATTTAAGGGTGCTATAACATTTTTCATATGTAACCGAACTCCTGAACCTTGTTATGATTAATAAATCAGAACCTATTTTTTATGGACCCTTAGTCAAGCTTAAGAGATCAATAAAATGATAGATTTATTAGGTGACCAATCACACCTAGTAATAAAAGATTTGTGGTAACTCTTCTTATTAAGTTTAGCTATAAATTTACGGATTTATATGTTATGACAGTTTGATGACTCCACTAGAGATAACTATAGAGAG